ATGAGTAGAAAGCAGTTTTTCACCCTTCTTCTTTTGTGGAATATTGAGAACAGTTTTAAGACTCTGCTTCACAGATTGTGCGCGAAAAAATAACGTGGCCAGGTGCAAGAATTCGGAAGAAAGACGAGGGAATGCCAGCCATGGAGAATAACAATAAAAAGGGCATTCTCTATGTGACCGTTGATGTCGAATTCCCACGAGGTGAACTGACTGCTGAGCAAAAAGAAACCATCAAATCACTGCTAAAACAGGACTCCGTACTACCTAAGGTATCTTTATTACTTTAAAAAACATACGTTCCCTTCCCACCTGGTCATTCATTCGTGACACCAAATGTTGGTACTGGGATGCTCACAGGACGAACGCAGTTGTACTGGGCTGCCTCTGCACAGTTACGTGGCAGCGGAAGATAATCACCATTTCATTTCTAATCACATTATTACATATCAGGAAAGTCGGGTCAGGAGACGGGACGTTTGCATATCACATGGAATCGAAGGGTAACTGGGCAAGGGGTTTCGTTTCGTTGCTGTCATTGGTACATTAGCATTGCCTGTTTCTTCAAATTTATGAATTTTGGCAATCTTTTCTTGCTCATTTCTTCGCCTTTCTTAATCTTTATAATTGCCGTGATCACCTGTTTTTCAGATATACAACGGGTTGCAAATGTCCCAGTAGCTGGCGCGCATGCAAATCTGTTTGTATTTATTGGTCACTGGGCGAGTTTCTTTTAGGGTTTATTATTGGATTCGCCGTAATGGCCATTTGTTAAAATCAGTGATAAAATGAACACTTCAAAGTATCAGACTTATTCTTGCCGCCGTTGTTTTGTGCAATTGTTATTTGTTATTTTCATGCGACTGTGCTGTTAGTGAAAAGTGAAATAAATTCTGTGATATTGATAATTTCGTATCGCAATTTTGGCGAATCATTAAGTTGGTAATCCCTTCAGAAGACGAGACGAACATTAGAATCGCCATCAAATTCCTTTAGAAGACGGGCCGAATGTCAGAATTGCCATTAAATTGAGCGCAGTGACGAATATCCGTTGAATTTAAGCATATGACTAAGCGGAAGGGAAGGAACTTGCGAAGATTTCCCTAATAACGGCAAGTGAACGGGAAAAAGCCCAGCTCTAAATCCTTTTGGCCATTGGCACTAAGGAGCTGTAACGTGTAGGTATTTCTATTACGCAGTGCAACGTTAAACAGAGGTAGTCCCAGTTCATCAAC